AAACACAATAAAGCGTTAGCACCGTGACATCGGTTTAAAATTTAAAAAAAAAAAAAAAAAAAAAAGTTTAAATTATTTAAATTACTTTACATAATTATTTTTCTAAATTTATAAAAAATATTTAAATTTATTAGAATCAAGTTAGAAAATATAAATTAGATTCGAACAAATCTAAAAAGGTATAATTTTTGTTATAATTTATTTTATTATTTCAAATATATTAAATTTTATAAATTGTTTTAGACTTATAAAATGCCAAAGGTTGGTAAGTAATATTTTAAATTATTGTACAAAAATTTTAATTAGTTTGAATTAGTTCGAATTTGCTAAAAATGATTATTTTTAGGGGCTAGTTTTTATACCCCCTGGATTTATTATTCGTACTCCCTATACCGTAAATTTCTGAAATCCACGTGATCATGTGAAATGATGATCGATATCTGAAATGTGATTGGGCAGCAGCATTATTACATGTGCCACATATATCACGTATACACGTGATCAAACTAGATGTTAAATGATCGTATCTAACATCTATCGCTATTCCTGTATTCTCTAAATGATTGTTCTACTCTCTAGATCATCTACTCTTAATTAATGCGTATATTTTAATTAATATGTACAGGATATCAGTCTTGCTAGTTATTGTTATTAGCATTATACAGTACTGTATATATGTAATGGTTTATTTTACTTTTTTTTTTTTTTAATATTAATGGTCATAAAAATATTTTTATTAACTTGCTTTCATAAAAAAATATAGATCAGCAGATTCAAAGTTTAAATCCAACCTAAAGGGCAAGTAAACTTTATTTATACAAAAATTTAAACTAAAAAAAAACCAATTAAACATTTTTTATGTTGACTTATTTTTTATTAATGCAAGTACGAGCGTTGTGCCCAGGTTGTTGGCAAATGGCACAATGCCTTGCTTTGGGATCTACTAATTCGAAGCCAGAAGGATCTCTTTTAGTTGAGTTGACTTTTTGGTTATTAGGAGCTCCAGAGGGACGACCTTTGGTACGGACTATACCAGGATTTTGTAAGGCCATTGAAGGTTCATCAATAATGCTTTTTAATGTATCTTGTGCAGCTAATTGCTAGAATTCTGGCCATTCTTGATATCTTCGCTATAGATCTTGCAAAAGGGGTTGTAGTGGATCTTCACTATTTTCTTCAATTTGTGGTGCTGTTAAGTTTCCCAGAATTCACCAATGCTTATGGATATTATTAAGCGTTAGACTTTGATCATTTTCCAAACATTGAATAAAATGTGCACAGAACAAACCCATTGTTTTTGAGAAAGACCCTGTGCATGGTGGTAAGGGCTCTTGTGGAGTTGCATTTTTTGCTTTCTGATACTGATCGTTTATCTTCTTGAGTGCAAAGGTTGATACTCTACCCTTAATATTTCTATACAAAGAATTGTTAGTAGCAAAGGCTGGGATACGAATATGTTCTGATGCAATCATAGTATTGAGTTCTTTTTTTTGGTTGGTTACTGCTAAAGATATTGCTGTGTAAACACGGTAAAGGTCTCCTGTGGACGTCTGCAAGTATGCTTTTAATGTAGCATGTGAACTCTCAATATGAGATGTTACAGTTGTTCCTAAATGAAGTAATTCATTTGTCCAGGCCTTCACAAATTTTTCTTTCCATGGTACCCAGGTTTCCTGAAGATGGTGTTATAAATCAAGAGTTAAAAAATCAGTTAGTTGATTAGTTGACAACTAATCTATTGAACTTTTTAGATATCAACTAATCGATAAATTGATTAATTGACTAAACAGGAGGAAATGTTGATGTTACGTGACTAATCCCACACCTGGTATGCAGCACATAGAAAAATTATTTTACAATACCTGTTTATTGTAATAAAACAGGTAAGGGATTATAATTATAACATTACTAGCAGAATTATCCGGTATTGTAAAATAATTTTTTTATGTGCTGCAATCTAGGTGTGGAATTAGTTCTGTAATATTGACAGTTATTGACTAATCGATTAGTTAAAACAATTAAAGAATTATTAATAATAACTAATCGATTAATCGGTTAATTGATTAGTTATAATTTGTCAATTAATCAATCGATTAATTGGCAAATTATATCTGATTGATTGACAAATTAATCGATTAGTTGCAAAAACTCAAATGATTTGTAACACTACCTGAAGATAGGATATTATACTAGGTTTATTATCGTAAGTAGAACAAAAATTTTCCCACTTCTCATCGAATTCATTTTCTGATTCTGTTTGAACTATATCATTCCACTTTGTGAGAAAACTTTCCCATTCACTGCCTTCTTCTATTTCTTTTAGAAACTGTGGTTTATAATTTTTTAAAATATTCTTGCTAATGTGCTATATACAAAGTAGATTTGTTGAATTAGGTAAGATTGTTTCAATGAGTGCTAGTTCTCTGTCAGTCATAATAATGCTCGGTTTCTCTTCATCAAATATTCTTATAATATTTGTTAGAGCCTATTTATAATCGTTCTTCTCTTCTTCTTTCATAAAAACAAAACAGGAAAAAAAGGTGGTATTGAAACTGGTTATACCTACAACATTTAATAATAGCATTTTAAATTTATTGGTTTTGTAGGTACAATCCATGAGAATTACCATGGGATATTGACAACTAAGAGATATAGAGTCATTGTGCACAAAAAACAAATGAGTAACGGAGCCGAAATTATCGCATTTGTATTTGAAAAAAAAGTCTTCTCCTTGAAGTTCATCAACTAATGCTTGAATAGGGGTTCGGCCAGCCAGATTTTGTTGTCTAAGCCATGAACACACATTATATATATCACTACTAGTGGCTAGTACTGATGTATCACTTTGTCGAAGTGTTGATACAATTTCACGGAAACATGAACCAGAGATAGTCATTGTTGCAACACTTTCTATTTGTTCCTTTGTTAGTCGATGGACAATAGAGTGTTCTGACATATCTTCTGAGGGACTATGATTATGTTTAGCATTACAAACTTCCAAATGCCACTAGTTATTGCATCGAGTTGCATATAATTCAAAGCGGCAATCTATTAACCTAATGCTTTTTTTTTTATTGCTTGTTTCTTGAGTAAAATCCAGGGGTTATTATAAACACCACCCCGGTTACAATGTATTGTCATATTTTTTAATTCACCATGCTCATCTTTCTGGGTTCTTTTTTTAACTAAAGCATAACCCTGAGAATTTGCGAATTTTTGTGCGTTTTGAAAAAGTTCATCGGCAGTGTTGTATATTCCAGAAGGAGGTGGAAGCATATTTACTTTGACTGATTATTCAACGAGTTTGCGCTTTAATTTAATTCATGTAGGTTTAATTTAAGAATAATTATGGTGATATGGAGAAAGTTCACAAGATTACAAAAAATGAAAGTCACAAAAAATGAAGTCAAAAATTTCACGGTTTATTGTAGATTTAGAGAGCTTTTTAAAAACAAAGCCAAGATCACTTTATTAAGTTCTTTTGCTTCTAAACTCTTTTTATATTTTATAAAAATTTTTTAATACTTAACAATTTAATCTACACTTTTCTTTGATTTCAGGCTGTATAATGAAGTTTTTTTACTTTATCTTCCTTTTTCTAATTTGATGCATTTTACAATCGCATCTTTTTCATGAAAATTTTTACAATCTATTTCAAAGCCACACGCTACATCCCTTTAGGATTCATTACATCATTTTTATTCAAAATTCTCTCTAAAAGAGTATAAGATTCGGCTTTGAATGTGTCAGAGTAATATTTGTGAAAGTGGTTGATAAAATTTAATGCCCACTTTCATGTGTATTTCCATGATCTATTACATAGCCACATCTTATATCTTTTTAAGATTTATTGCTATTAACTTTTTTTTTTAAATTCTTCGCAATTTCATGAACACCATCATAATAGTGCATATTATACCCTTTTAAGATAACTACTAATCAAAACTATTTAATCCATTGTCTAGAGCCACAACCCTTTTTAGAATTATTTTCATATACACTTATAATTTCATTAACCATATTAACTATTTCAAGTATATTGTTATAGTCATTTCAAAGCCATGCCCTATACCATATTGGGATTTTATTTCCTTATTTTGATTAGTAACTTCAGATTTGGTGATCATTATTTATACTAAGTTACGATAGATCGCACACAGCAAAATACAA